AGTTAAAGTTATATTTGTCCCTTGCACACACAAAAAATCTTATTTACGACAGATTCCTGCTATATGCCAGACCCTTTGCCTTTAGAACATTCTAAACCCCACACTTCCTGGGCAATACTCTAAGAATCAAAGGACTACAGGATCCCCTTTACTCCTCTTTCATGACACTTATAATTTTCTATTATGAATTACAGCCCTCTGTACATGTGTCATATCTCTTCTATCGGTTTGGCCAAAAAGTTCGTTCGGGTTTTTCTGTACGATGTTACGAAATACCCAAACAAACATTTTGGCCAACCCAATATTAGATTGTAAGAGCCTTGGGACCTGCTGCATATCTGGGTCTTCTTGTATTTTACAAAAAATTTAGCACTGCCTCCCTTGTGTATGGTTACATGTAAAATAAATATCTAACACCTACTACATGGTAATGGATGTGTTGGACGAACAATTAAATGAATCATCTTAGTAATCCATTCGTATAACATCTAAGAAACTAAAGTTCCAGGAGTTACTTGCCCAGGGTCATGTAAAATTGCAGCCCAGGGCCCAGAACATTACAGATACACAGTATTTATCTGATGAATGAATGGTGGCAGAGCCAGGACTGAAAACCACAGGCAATCGAGAAGCCTCTTGCCTTGAACTAGGGACTCCTTGAATGTAGGCTGATGTCCCACCCAGGTCCTGAACATTCATTCGGTGACAAAGAAACTTCCCTGACCTACAAATGAACCAGGGTTGTGCCATTAACAATTGAGGGCCGGACTGGCTGATACTGCCTAGTGCTTCCCATCCTGACGTAGGAAACTTTTGCCTGAACCTTCTAAGAAGTCAGTTTGGGGAAGTCTTCTCTTTGCCCCAGAGATGCTGATAGTGTGGCCCTGAGTCACATTTGTCTTGAGCTGCACTGTCCAATATAGTCCAACATCTCCTAGGCATTTGTGGCATGTGTGACTATTTAAGTTAAAGTAAAGTAAAAATTCAGTTCAGTTGTGGTAACCACATTTCAGGTGCTTAATAGCCACATGTAGCTAGTGGCTACCATATTGGATGGTGCAGGTACAGAGCCTTTCCATCATTGCGGAAAGTTCCATTGGACAGTGCTGGTCTAGAACCACCACATGTCTAGGGGCAGATCATCTGTGTGTGTGTTATTGGGCATTTACTGTGTGCCAAGCACAGGGCTCACTTTGCAATCACTGTACAAGTATTATCTCATTTAATTCTCACAACAGCCCAGTGAAGTAGGTGCAATTATTATCCTCATTTTATTTTTTAATTTTTTGGCCCCGCCGAGTGGCACGTGGGATCTTAGTTCCCTAACCAGGGATTGAACCCGTGCCCTCCTGTGTTGGAAGCTCGGAGTCTTAACCACTGGACCACCAGGGAAGTCCTATTACCCTCATTTTAAAGACAAGGAAACTGAAGCTCAAAGAGGTTAAACCACTTGTTCAAGGTCACACAGCAAGGATGTGTTAAAGCCAGGATTTGAATCCAGCTCTCCTTATTCTCTGCTGAAATGCAGCCCTCCCAGTGGTTTCTGAGATTTAACATCAAGTTCTGCCCTCTGGGCCTGACCTTTTGTGTTAAAGAGAAGAGTCAATACAGGGTACCACCAAATCTGTATGTCACTATGAACATTTAACTTAAGAAAACTGCCCTCCCCTTCCATTCCTTTTCCTTCCTTTTCTTCTCCCTTCCCTTCCTCTTCCTTCCTTTTTCCTTTTTCCCCTCCCTCCCTCCCACCTTCTCTTCCTTAATCACTCAGTACAGACACTGGCAGTCTGAAAGGATCCTGCTGTAGCACTGGAGGAGGTACCTGGGGGTGCCCTGGAAGGTACTGGGACAGCCAAGGGACAGGGGCACCCAAGGGTGCTGAAGGTATTAGCTATTTACCAGTTGGTATGGAATGATTTCAGTATTTTAACAACTATCAGGGGCCTCCCAGAGACCACTAGTGTGCCTGGCACAGGAGCCACCAAGCCAGTAAGCCCTGGGACTTGGGGGGACGGTGCTGAGAAGGGAAGTCGGAACAGTGCCTGGCAGAACCTCATCTGCTCAAAGCTGAGGGCCACCGTGTCTGTCCCCTCCCTACAACTCACTCTGGGGCCTTTTCCACTGCCTCCACGGGACACCAGGCGGAGACTTCACAGGTCTTCTGCTTCCCTTTATACTCTATACACCTGCCGGTCTGGATTCCTGTGGGGGTCAAGGGGTCGTAGAAGCACAGGTATGACAGAACGGGCGGTGGGGTGGGGGGGAGGAAACTCCACTCAACTCAAGCAAGAGACTATGTTTTTCAACCCAAGCAGTTTCAGTTTCCATGAAACCCATCCAAACCACAAACTTACATAAGAAAAAACAAGCAAGCAACACATAGAACAGTAAGCTTTTCAAAAAAGGATCAAAGAGAACACAGAAAGACCATGGATGCCGTTCGATTTTTTTGGTTTCTTTGCAAGAAAAGATGGCTGAGGGGGGGAGCTGAACAGGGTATATTCTTTTGCCTCGTATAAATGGACTAGAACTTGGCTTCTAAACAGGCATCTGAGTCCCTCTAGGTGCATACAGCATGTACCAGGATGTACAGAGCCATGGAGTAAGCATGGCGCATCTTCCTGGAGTATCGGTGTCATTAACAAATTTTTGAGGGGAAAATTAAATAGTAAATAATATTAATGACCTCTCCACCAACTCAAATGCATATGTATTATGGGATGGAATTGAATATTCATATGCTTTTTTGTGTACAGGTGTATGATAAACAATGATGGTTTTTACTTTTTCTTTTTTGTGGTAATTTTTTTACTATGTGCCTTAAGTTAAAACAAGAGCTTTGGAAATTCTGAAGGTTAATATTGTCCCCAGGTGCCCTGGGGGTACACATTCATCCTTTTCAACCTTTGGGGAAATTCAAGAGGAAACACTTAGAACACTCAGATGATGCTATAGGCCATTCAGTTTTTCTATCAATGAGAACCCTGAAGGGGCTAATTCTGCGAGGTTTTCAGGAGCTGCTCTCACTGGGAGTTAGAGTCACATTCATAGTCAGCAGCTGGTCCTCTGGGTTCAGAGTCGAGGCATGGGGCAGGTACAGGCTCATCCATGGCCTGGGGAGGGTGGACGAAGGCAGCTGAGAGCCAGAGGCTAAAAATCTGGGCATCTCGAATGTCACCAAGATTCCAGACCATCCACCCACGGGGTCTCAGGAAAAGAAACAGAACATACCTTTGCTCTTTGGACCCATCCATCCCTTTTTACAGCCCCGGTCAGAGGAACAGAGCGTCCCGCGGGTGGGGTACTGCAGAGAGAAGGACAAGGTAGTGAGGAATAAGCATCGTGTGTCCCTGCGATACAGAAGGGCAGATGTCTATGTCCACACAAAAGCTTGCACATAATGCCAAGAAAACAGAGCAGCCCAAATATCCACCAGTAGATGAATGGACAACTAAAATCCAGGACATTCATCCAGTGGAATGTTATCTGGCTGGCCACAGATAGGAATGAATGAAGTACTGGTACCTGCTACAATGTAGATGAAACTTGAAACATGATGGATGCTAGGTGAAAGAAGCCAGATACGAAAGACCACATATTGTATGATTCTGTGTATATGAAATGTTCAGAACAGGCAAATCCATGGACAAAAGGGTGATCAGTGGTCGCAGGGGCTGAGGGAAGCGGGAATGGGAGTGACTGCTAATGGATATGAGGTTTCATTTTGGAATAATGAAAATGTTCTGGAAACTGATAGTGATAATGGCTGCACAGCTCGGCGAATATACTAAAAACCACTAAATGGTACACTTTAAAATGGTGAATTTTATGGTATGTGAATTACATCTCAATAAAAAATAAAAATTAATGAAATTCTAAGAAGCGTATGCCAGGGGCCACTTTCGGGGACAGCCCTTGTGTTGGAGAGCAGGGGGCCCGGTTCAAGCAGCCCTGTGGCTCCAGAAACAAGTGAAGCGGACAGGCACAAAGTCTCAGCAGGAAATGTGGAAATAAAGGACTCCAGCCAGCACTCTCTCCTGGCCTGAGAAAATGAGGTCAATCAGCTTTCAATAAGAGCTGAGGACAGAATGAGGAGAAGAAAAATGAGATGACTTGGTTTATGCATACTCGGCTTCCCATTTTTCAGGGACCAGGTTTACCAGCCCGTCTTGGGGAAACCAGAACCTCTGTGAAAATAGCCTCTTCTGTGCAATTTTACAGAGCTTCAGGGGAGTCCCCAGGCTTGGACCCAGGTACAACCAGGTTCGGCAATAGCTGCACCCTTTTCTAGCTGAGTGGCCTCAGCCAAGGAACTTTGCCTCTCTGAGGCTCAGTTTCCTTCCCTGTAAAAGGGGAATGAACAGATTTGTCTTATATGGTTGTTGTGAAAATTAAATGAATTATGATGAGAAAGGGTTTAGCACATGGCTCTTGCTCAGTGAACGTTTCCTGTAGTTTTCAATCTCTTTCATGTTCTCTTTTCTTCCCAAGTTGCTTTCTTCCTGTTACCCAGCATGTCCTTGGTTTGCTGCCCTTGTGACCTCCAACTACACTATGAACCGTTTGAATACAAGGCCTGGGTCATATCTTTGTAGTTTGAGTGCCTGATACATAGTGGGTCTTGATGAATGTGGAATGAATGAATGAATGAACAAATGATCATTTACTGTGGCTCATGGGAAGCTATGTTATTTTGATTATTGACTGGAAAGAAATCTCAGGAAAGAAGATAAACTGACTCTATTTTACTCTCCAAAAGAAATTCCAAAATTAAAAGAAAATAAAGACGTGGGACTTCCCTGGTGGCGCAGTGGATAAGACTCTGCGCTCTCAGTGCAGGGGGCCCGGGTTTGATCCCTGGTCAAGGAACTAGATCCCACATGCATGCTGCAACTAAGAGTTCGCATGCCGCAACTAAGGAGCTGGCGAGCCGCAGCTAAGACCCAGTGCAACCAAATAAATAAATAATAAATAAATAAATATATTTTTTAAAAAGACGTTTTAATCATCTCTTTTTGTGGTTGTCACATGCGTTGACGATGGCCACAAATTCTTTGTCGCTCTTGCCATTGGGAGGTAGAGGGTTTCCCCTTCCCTTTGAAGCTGGGCTGGCTCTGACCAAATAACCAACAGAAGGCAGTGGAAGTAATGCTGTGTCAGCTCTAGTACTGAGCCTGGGAGGCCTGGAAGCTTCTTTTGGTTTGGGGGAACCTGAGCTGCTATGAGGAAGTTTAGAAAGACTATGCGGAGAGACTCTGAAAGGAGGAGAAGCCTTGAGAGTCCCCGGAGAGGAAGAAAAGGCCAGCCATCCCGGTACCCCAGCTGAGCCTCCGAATGGTGCTAGCCCCAGCCGCTATCCGACTGCAGCGCCGTGAGAGATCCCATGCAGATCCCAAGATCAGCAGAACTGCCCAGCTAAGGTCAGTCAACCACTGAACTATGAAAGCTCGTAAAATGCTTGTTGCTTTAAGTCCACCAGGTTCAGGGTAGTTTGTTATGCAGCAATAGATATAACCAATGTCTCTTCATTTTGGTGTACCGCTGGGGTTTGGCCATATTTACTGAGTCAAGCCCTGTCCTTGACTTCCACCTCTTGATCAGAGTTAGGGTGGGTGTCAGTATGCAAAGAGAGGAGGCGAATATCCCATTAGAGCAACCCAAACCAGCTTGGGTCACAGGTTAAAATCCCAAGAGTTACATAGCGTTCTCTGGGCTGCTGTTTGAGTTCCAGTCAGTCTGAGTGACATCCTGTCTGAGAAAGAGTAACTTGTCATTCGAACCGTCACAGCTCGCATTTATCCAGTGCTTACAATGTATTATGCCTTGTTTCCAGCCTGTCACAGAGATTCGCTCATTTGTTTCAAAAATCCTAAGAGCTAGGTTTTGTAATTAGCCCCATTTTGCAAATGAACATATCAAGGCACAGAGTGGTGAAGCTACCTGCCCAAAGTCACAAAGCTAATACGTCAAGTATTAAACCATTTACAGTCTAGCTCCTAAATCCAGGCTCTGGGCTACCCTAGTCTTCCTTACCAGTCTCAGTAACTTGAAAAGTGCTGTAGGGGACTTCCCTGGTGGTCAAGTGGTTAGGACTCCGAGCTCTCACTGCTGAGGGCACGGGTTCAACCCCTGGTCGGGGAACAAAAATCCCACAAGCCGCAGCAAGCCAAAAAAAGAAACGAAAAGGAAAGCATCTGTGCAAAGTACCACAGGGGTGGAGGGTAAGTAGCAATTCCAGAGTATGGGAAGCAAAACTGGCCCCAAACTGGCCCCAAACTGGACACAATTTTGGATGCTGCTGGGAAGGGAGGTGGGAGGGAGTGTTTAGTTGGACTGATGCCTGCTACTTCGTTAGAGTAGCAGGAACATTTAAGGGGAGATGGGGGCAAGATAAACATAGAGAGGTCTACTTTTAGGGGAACGTCATTGAGATAGACACCAAGGGAATGTTAGCTTGTTTCCAAGTTTAGGTAGAAATGACGCCAAAGACTGTAATGAGATAGAGCTTATCCACCCTGATCTCTCAGACACTCAGAAATCTAGGCCTTGTCACCAGAGTAGGCTGACGAGCAAGACCCACAGGCAAGGCTGGTCTTCCCCACAGGCTGGGGACCTGCTCAATATTGCCACAGCGTTGTGCCCCTCAGTTGGGACGGTCCCTGGTAAAGCGCAGGTGAGTTACTCGAGAGGGGAACAGCAGGAGTGTGTTGCCTAGACAAATTTTGCTATAGACAAACTTACCAGAATAGCTAGTTATCACTTTACAGAGCAGAGAGCAGGACTGGGATGGGACAGAATAGGACCAGTATGTTTTGATAGGGAAGAAAGTTTTCCAGAAAAAGTAGGGGAAGGTGGAGAGTACGGAGAGGGCAATGCTCCCATGTCTCCCTCCTTCACCACTACCCACTAGCCATATCTCCCGCCATCACCACTACCACCCATGCAGTCTGGGAAAGACTGCATGGGTGGTAGTGGTGACGGCAAGAGACATGGGAGCATTCCTACCTGATATAGAGCCTAAAACTCTAAGAAGTGGGATGAAAAATCAAACTTGATTCCCAGGCTGGCCCTGCAGGCAGTTCACAGTGGACCGTGGCAGAAGCTGTGAATGAGGACAACTGGATTCTAAGCTTGGCTCTGCCTCCAGCAAGCTGTGTGACATTGGGGAGGTCACTGAACCTCTCTGATCTTTGTGCTGACCTGTAAAATGGGGCTGGGAATGCTGTTACCCCCCTAAAGTTCAAGTGAGGCTCCACTGAAACATGAGGTGCTGTGCAAAGGCCAAGGATCCCTGTTGTCATGAGCTGCACAGGGAGTGAGCGATGGAGAAAGGGGGCCTTGAGCTGCACAGGCTCCTAGTGCTGGAGCTGGAGACCCAGGGGGACAGATCAAGATCTGGTGGTTACAGAGGGAGAACTACAACATCTTCTCGCCCTTTCCACCCAGCCCAGATCTACACCCCTGCTTTGTAGCAAGCAGAGGCTCAGTAAATATTCGCAGGCTCCAAAACACGCCTGGTGTCAGTTTCCATTTCCTCTGACCTGTGTCTCTTCCAGGAACTCTTGTCACCCATCACATCTTACCTCAGGACACAACCCTTGCTCTTGGCCTTCTATCTTGAGAAAGTTTGTCATCACAAAAAAAGAGTTCCCCTGCAGAGAAAAAGGAGAGAAGGCAAATGTAAAGCCCTTGAGAACAGAACTACTTAATCATAGTAATCCAGCTGGCCAAGTGCCTGGGGGCAAACCTTTCCACTCTTCTAAGTTTCAGTCTAGAAATCAGGGTCTGGAAGCAACTGACAGCCCTGAGGCCTAATAGCAAAGCTGGATGAGCCGCCCTGCTGAACTGAGGGAGAGCAGAGGAACAGTTCAAATTAATTGAGCATTGGTTTTCCATTCCAGCCTCAAAAGCAGCCTTTTCATTTTTCGGACACAGTGAAAACCCATTAAGTTGAAATTCAAGAGACCTGGGGAGGCAGAGGTGGAGGTGTCACCTCCATCAGAACGCTGTTCAGATTATCCAGGACTTTAATGAAAGGGCAGTAGGTCATCCCACCACCTGGGAAATAGCTGGAGGTTTTAATGACCCGCTGTTAGAGACAAAAACGGATAGCAGCTTGGCTTTTATGGTTTCGAAAAGCTTTCCAGCTCCCAAGGGCTGCCAACGTGCCCTTTTGTCCCTCCAACCCCCCATCTGTTCTTTTTTGTTCTCAACCCCACTTCAGTTTCTCCCTTTTGAGAATTCTACTTTCATTTTCTCTTCTTGCAAATTGAGACAATCTCATGCCCTTTCTTTGTGAGCCACACCCTTCCTTTCCCTTGTGCAAAACTGTACCCAAGAGTGTTTTTCTGGAGACATTTTTGTTGATAAAATGTCACACAAACAATATAGAAGGGCTGGTCCCCTCTAGGCAGAAAGTTCTTTACCTTTCTGGATCTAGGCAAAGTTTGCTGACTTGATGGCCCTGCTTCTGAAACACTGTATAAATCAAGTGTGAGTGAATCAAATCATGTTTTCAATGCACCAGGACACACTGCTATTTTGAGAAACCCTGTAGGACTTGATAAAGCAAAGAATCATCTCCTTCGAGTTGCTGGATCTGACCCAATTTTGCAATTTTTAGGTTTTCTCAGTTGGGATTTTCACAGAGCTTTTTAAATGGGGCCAGTGTTTTTCTGGAGTGAGGCTCTAGGTCCCAGGGAGGGGTGCGAGGTCCTGGGGACAGTGACCAGGGACGAGTCCTGGGAGGATGCTGATAAGTGCTCACCTGCAAGGGGACAGTGTAATCTGCCGTGTCGAAGACATTCCACACTACCTTCTTCAGTCCGTTCTCCATAATCTCCTTTTTCACCTCTCCCACCCCTTTCACCTTGGCATGCACAGAACTGACGACAGGTTCTTTCCATTGGTACCGCTTGTCATTCACCAAAGCAAAGCTAAATGGCAGACACAGAAAAGCATCAATGGTTTTCTCAAGTGAGGCACAGTGCATCGGTTTTGGATGCAGGTTCCGAAAGTCACCTCCATTAAAATCCTAGCTTGCTGGATGACTTCGGGCAAGTGACTTGCCATCTCTGTGACTCATTTTCCTTACCTGTAAAATGGGAAGAATAGTCATACCTACCTCATAGGGTTGTTGTGAGGATGGAACGAGATATGCATGCAAACTCCACAGCGCTATATCTGGAGCATGGTGAGCTTTCACTACATAGAAACTATTGGCCCCAGTACCAACTTCTAATATTGCCTAATATACACCCTAATTTATAGGTTGCCTTCTCAAATACCAAAGTCCACCCCAGGTTGGTCCACCAGCTTTGTTTTGGGGCTCAGTAACACATTAGCATCTTTTTAAGGGTGTGTCCAGCAGGTCAGCCTCCTGTTTTCCAGAAACACCCACCTGATTTACAAATAATATGGATAATAGCAGCTACCCTTTATTGAGCACTTAGTACATGCCATGTGCTCTGTATGCATCCTCTCCTTTAATGTTCACAACAGCAATAGGAGATAGTTACTGTAATCATCACCCTTTTGTAGATGAGGGAATGGGCTCAGAGAGGTGAAGGAACTTGCCCAAGGTTACACAGGTAGTCAGTGGCAGGACTGAGGTCCTTGATTGGTCTACCTTATAGCCCAGAGCCAGACCTCTTAACCAGGTACTGTACTTGTACCTGCATCATGTGGCTCTGCCTCTGGTTTCCTGCCTTTTGATCCATTCATTAGCTGTTTTTAAATCTTCTTTAGAATATGAATCTAAATTATATGGTGGGGGAAGAGAGGGAGAAAGTGGAATTGATAACTAAAAATGGTAGATTCCATCCCCATTTATGTCTTTTCCCTGTCTCCCATTGCCCTGAATAATTGAGTTTATTTTGGTTTTTTTTGGCCATGCCGTATGGCACATGGGCTCCTAGGTCCCTGACCAGGGATTGAACCCACACTCCCATGCAGTGGAAGCATGGAGTCTTAACCACTGGACTGCCAGGAAAGTCCTTAAGAGTTTATTTGAAATGCTTTGTTTATTCATTTGGCAGGTGCCTATTTTGGTCTCTTCCCTCTGCTCAGTCTCTGATATCTGAATGATATTAGGAAGTCTAAGCCAATGGATGCCCTCTATGAGCTGACATTGGGAAACCAAGACACAGTGGGCCAAGGCTTGGTCCCAGCTGTTCTCAACCTTGGCTGTACAGTATAATTACTTAGGGAGCTTTCAAAATTGCAGCTCCCCAGTCTTATCCCTGGAAACTCTGATTCAGAAGGTCTGGAGAGTTAACCAGGTACCTATATATTTTTCTAAAGTTGATTTTAATGCACTGCCAGGGTTGAGGACCCCTGGGACACTCACGGAAAGACAGGTCACATTTGGCAATATGAAGTACTGTACATTTGAAATGCACTCCCCACACCCCAACAATTC